TAGATCGACAGGGCTACACTATCTAAAGACTTGGCTACTGTTGTTGAGTAGTCACACTAATGGAAGTTGCCTATGTATGCCAGACCCTGACTCCGTGATAAAGATTTCGTATTGCATGCACCCGTGCTACCGAAGCCCGTGCTCCTGGCATCATCGTAAAGAAGCACTTCAAGCAGTAGCCGAAGTGTAAGTATGCTGCTAACAAAGCACGAGTTATTTCGACTCAAGAAAGCTCTGAGCTGCACCAAGCCATAGGTCTTTCTCGCTTTGTATAAAACAGTGGTTAGACGAAATATGGGATGATGTGTTCAGGCATGGGAGCCCTACCTGCGGAAGGATATCAATTGTATTGAGAATGTGCAGACTGGCCACTCGAATGGTAGGTCACTGGGGTTTACCGTACGAAGACCTGTTAGCTAACAGGATTTTCTCAACGAGGGGATGCATATTGAGAGGACTTAAAAGACATTGAAAATCAGGGTTTCAGTGATTTCAGGCCCAAGGATCTCTTCGAACCAGCAACGTCGGACCACTAGCTGGGCCATTACCCGAAGTTGAAACATCAAAGACCTAGGCTCGATAGAAGAGCTGTTTTCGAATCCGATAGTGCCTAGATGGAATAAACTTCCCTCTGCACTATTTGAATGTAAGACGGTAGAGGATTACAACCGATACCTGGCAAAAACTGGTTGGTGCTATTCCTTGAATTCCTGTGGGAGTACATGACAGCATCTAACCACTTGCTAGTAGTCTACGCAACTTCATGAAAATGATGTGGTTGTTCTACTCTCTCCTCAACTATAAACGCAATATACTATCAAGTCGAAGTGCTGAGGCTTTGTTCACTGGTGTGTAGAGAGCACGAGGGGAGAGCCTAGTCAGCGCCGTTATTTTTAGTTCATTGCGAAGTTAATGCTCCTGTTCGCGTATCGACGCGCCTCTGGGGATCATCGCATTTGCAATCGGAGCAGCATGAACCCGCGGTACTCATCAGGTGGCAATCTAGTAGAGGCTTGTAAGGTTCCTCAGTCTGCGTATCAACTATGTTTCCCGGTAAGCTGTTCTAGTCGTTCACCACCCGGATAGATAAGGCAGCATCAGACTGGACGAAATGTATACTTCGTTTGTAAACCTTCCACTTGTGACCCGTGTGGGGTATTCACTTTGAGTGGAGTCTTTGTGGGTCCGTTCCGTTCTCCCCTTAGGATCCGACCGGTGTAAATGAGATCCCCTGGACGACGGCGATACTCCAGAGAGAACAAGTCAAGCTTCTGGAGCCGAAGAGGTAGCTGTGGTCGTGAAGCTCCGAGATGGATTTCAAACCACGCCTCTGAACCTTTTCTAACATGGCATATTCATATTTCGAGAGCTGGAAGGTCATACTCCAAGATTGGGCGAACATGTGAAATGAACGATGAACATGTGAATGAACGATAACTGCAAGATTTTTCTCGTGGGTGACCGTCGTGAGAAGAGCCAAAGGTGTGATATACACCGAACGAAGTCCCCAATAAGGAGGACGGCACATTTGTCATCGTTAACAGGGAGTTCCCATTTGACGGACCAATCATGCAGCAGGTCAAGTGATGATTGTAGCCTGTCGGCGTCATCAAGGCTGGATAATTCTGACCATCATTTGAGGTCGTCTGCATAGATTAGGCAGTCAGTTGGTAGTGTCGCAGGGAGGTCGTTAATGTAGATGTTGAACAGGACGAGGACGGATCCTCGGAGAACGTCGCTAGTCACAGGGGGCAGTCTCACTTTCACTGTAATGGTCCGAGATAAAGAAAGTCTTCTATTTAAAATGGAACATTTCTACTGACTACAATCCCCTGGAGTTTAAGCAGCAGCCGCGTGTGTGGGACTTTATCGGATGGCTTGCTGAAGTCGATGTAGACAACATTTAGGTGTCGTTCAAGTTCAGTTGGGACCGGAACTATAGGATAATCCCGCGAATGTTCCTTCTTTTGCGTATCGTCGGATTGGAAATTGACAGGTCTGCTTGAGATGTTGAAAGGCCTAAAACAAAGACCGCATCACACCTCTCATCCAATGCACTGGCCCAGACTTCTGTGTTCATTTACCGGCAGAAGAAACGAGACGCTTGTAAAGTAAAAGCATGTTTCGTCCTTGGATCCCGTACTGTTTCAGTCACAACGCACGATCGTTGTGTTGTATTCTTTTCGATATACTTAGCTAACAGTATCAACGGTATCGTTTTTTATGGCCAGGACGACAACGGAGCTTTTACTACAAAATAAAAGCTTCGCTGTAACTAGATCTCCCCTTGGCTATCTGGGCTCCTGCTAAATAGGTGGGATCCGGTGATAATCACAGACTGCATACTAAGTAGACTGTAAGAGGACACAGCAAACGGGAAATCAGTCAATAATAAGTACCTTGAAGTGCGTAGAGAACATAAAGTCACAGAAGAGTGATGCGCAGCAGCAAAGCCGCTGAAGAGCATGAAACACGCCATAGAGAATGGAGTAGACCAAAGCACAAAACGTTACTAACCTGATACGTTTCAGCACCACATCGGTTGCATGTATATGTGGCAACTGAAATCAACGGTTTCACTTCAGTAGCGCGAGTGACCAGTCCTCGAACTTGGATAAGTCGCCCGATCTGAGACGCAAGCACACTGCGGACGCTAAGAGCTTTGCGATCCTGTCGGCCCGAAAAATACACTTCGCTGTGATGGATTCAAAGGGAGCAACAAAAGACACTTACAAACGGCGCATCAGTTCTGGAGGGAATCGCGAACGTATTTCATCCAAGTCGACGTTAGACAAGGAGGCACTTTGGGCATTTAAAGGACGTGCGGCCATGTTTACATCTTCAGCACGTATTCGCTGTTCCATTCTGATGCGATGATCAATGAAGATATCGAGGACATCTTGGGGTACAAGCTTAAAATATAGGGAGTGCGCAGTCGACCCACCTCGGATGTGCGGTAATCAGGCAGTAGGCGATCCACAACCTCAGCGAAAAGCTTTTGATACCGAAGCACGTTGGCTTCAACCGCCTCTGCCAATTCTACGGAGTGATCTGAAAGATCACTCAATGAGATATACAGAGCAATCTGCTCCCGATTGGCAATGATGGTCTTAAATAAAAGCGCAAGAAAATATCTCACCAGCTGTTCGCTGTAAATAAAATGCTTGATTCCTGATTCACTTGTACGGCAGAATGTTCTAAGAAAGTCACTAATTCGTTCCTTGTCCTCATCGTAATTCCTAACAGCATGCAACATCTGGCAATACTCAAAGACGTCACGGAATACAAAGTGTGTAAGGCGAGTCTCACGGAAAGCGAAACGTCGGATACCGGAGCCGGAGCGTCGGATCCGCCACTTGCGATAAATGATCTTTCGACTGATCGATTTCGGTACACACGGTTTGATGTGGTTCGATGTAAATTTTGGGGCCATCGAACGCATGTGAATGTTTATTATTAATTTAGGGGGTTTGTTGAAACGCTAGAGTTTCATTTGGAAGCAGTATACTAAGCGGTTTTAATGCGCTACGGTGTTTACTCATTTTCCCGCTTCGAGCGTAGCAGCCATGGTGAATGACTTGTTTGTATTCCGACGTATACTCAAGGGTCTTTATCTGGACTTTGCATCGAGGAATGATGATCTGAAGGTGTTTCAGATGGAAACGGCGACATCGTTTATTCGTGGGAACGTTATAACTGCGAAGGCGTACCAGAGGGAGACTGGATGGTGTTATCAGAAGGTTGCCCGTACCGGTATGTTCTGTTTGTATGCGTGCATAGCAAGCGCAGCAAGGTTGCTGGAAAGCGATAAGTGCACTGCATATGCGTGGTGAAAAGTTTATCACAGGTACCGCTGTTACAATTGCCAAGCTCGCTTTTCAGCGACGTTTAACGGCGAATGTTGAGAGATTGGAAACGCGTGTCTGTGGCATTCGCACAGTTTTCAGGGGGGATGCCTTGGCTGTATGCGAAAGGCTGCAGGCTACCGGCTGATCAGGAACGCATGGTGCTTAACTTAATTGATACCTTTCGTCGGACACAAGAGATGCTTGCATTTGTGGGGCCAGCAACAAAAGATTCGTTTAACCCGGCGCGGTTTGTATGACATACGGCGGCGTCATCGGAACGCTTGTGTCGAGGAAGTGGAAGAGGTTATGCAGCAGTTGCGAAAAAATGGTCATCTTTAAATTATGAATGAGGGAAATGAGATTCACGGGTTTCACGGGTTTGCGCAGAACGAGTAAGCGTAGCTTTTCGGTGGTTCTGCCTCGGGATCTTACGGCAAGGTCCTGATCTCGTCGGTAGGTACCAGATGTTGTGGTTCTCGACGCAGTAGTGGTGTTCAGCACAAGAATTCAGCGAGTTGACTGTGGGAATGTGGATACCTGGCACAAGATACCTGTTTTTCGTGCCCACGCGTATGCTGGAGTTGGTGGGCCAATCGGTGAGATCATTTTGGCGGACTCCACATATCAAATCGATTACGGGGGTTACGTCCTATGGCATCGCATGTTTGTGGACGTTAGTGGCCTTGGTATGAGCTTCTTTAATGCGCTTCTGCCAAATGAGATGGAGGCTACTTACGAAGAGGAAGTGAAATGTATGTTGAAGTTGGCCCCCGGGGTTGCCGGTGCTCGAAAGTTGGTGATGAACAAGTGCGCTGCGCAAGTGAATGCGTTTCACAATATGTATCCCACTGGCAACATCGTATTCTGCCGGGCACACATCATGCAGGAGATGCAGCGGCGTTGTTCACACCTTCCGTTCTGTAACACGGAGGATAAGATGGCTCTGTTCAACATGCTGCGCTCGTTGTTGTACACCCAAGCGCGCGCACCTTATCATTGGATTATGGACGGTATATCGGTGCTCAGCGCGGAATGCTTTCAACACCTCTGTCGCACGTGGATCCCATGGCGGCTTAGTTGGGCGGCGCATTCGATGGGCCACGTGGTATTATCCGGGTGTGATAGCACAAATCGCGTTGGGAGTGAAAATAGGTACTTGAAAGAAACTTTGAGTGAGTGGTCAACTTTACTGCACCTGTTTCAGGTGATAGTGCAATGTTGCACTGGCGTTTTGGAAGAAAGGGGAACGTTGCTTGCGAGAGATCTGCTTGGTATGTGCGATGTTATGCATGGTGTAAGCAGTGCAATTGAGTTTTTAGGAGGATGTCGTCATACGCCCGGCGGCAGTACGTGCGGCACAGGCTTCCAGTTCGCAGTCATAGTGTGAATCCAGACGGCAGGTATTGGCTGCTGGATGACGAGCGCCTGCGCATGCAACGTGTGGTCATTGCGAGTGGCAGCCCATGTGGCGCATTCCATGTGCGCACATTGTACACTGGGAAGCTTACACGCGTCCGACGAGGAGGTGGTGCTACGTGGTTGACGTTGGGTGCTGCCAGCGGAAAGTGCAGCAGTGTCGGCCCTTTCGGAGGACAGGGAAGGAACCATGACGGTGGCGCGGATGCGATGCAGTTATGATGGAGTCCTTGACCGGGCCGGCAAAATTCGCCTCACTCGGGATATGTTTGCTGACTTGGAGGCGCGTGTATTGAGTATGGGCACGGAAGAGTTCTACCGCACAATGGCCGTAATGGCGTGCATGCTTGTGCTGCTGGCTACTCACAGTAAAGTGACGGTGTTCACCCGATCATCGAAGGTTGACCAATTACCACGGTTATCCTGGAAGGACCTGTCTATCTTCCAAGCAGTGGACGCTTTTTCCTCCGACGTCGCTACCCGGGTGTGGACTGGCAAGGGTTCTTCGATCAGCGGAAATTCACCGGAAACGCACGTCGGAGATGCGCTCCCGTTGGTGGTGGCAGGGGCTGGTGTTCCGCACGTTAATTGCAATGACTGTCCACGCCACAAACGAAAGTCACCTTCGATAGCCCGTGCGGTGGAGGTGGGGGTTCCAGCATGTTGTCACGGGAATTGAACTTCCGTACCCGGAAAAGGAGAACATCACCTGGTTACCCTGCACATATACATGGCGTGTAAGCAGAGCAACCGCTGCTGAAGATGAGGACAGCGCGATTTGTGCTCTGTGTGAGTAGAACGATGACGCCTTGGGGACCTCCGAACATGTTAATTGGAGAAGTTGCGACGTATGTGGCCGCTGGTTTCATCAAACTTGTGCCGTATACCATGGTGAGCCCGCCTACACGTGTATGCACTGCTGCAAATAAGTTTCGTTTTACGTATGTAACGTTACATTTACTTAGGGTTGCAAAAGAGCACAATTGCATTGTTGCGTCATGATATTTGCCCATGGGAAACGCTTACAATCGGTAAGCGCGCACGTTATGGATTTCCTTCCGGAAACCGATACTTCCTTGCTTACTTATTGACCATTGTCAATCCGCCATCAATGTCCTTCCGAGGGGTATGTGGCTTCGCTTACACAGCTGCGCGGTGTAAGCGTTACGTTACGTAGAGAGCATTGCGTTGCTGGACCTTCACATGACCGAAACGGAAAAAATTTCCCGTGGTGTATAATGAAGGGCCAAGCAACGTTATTACTGGCTGGACTCGAGTGTTAGCGGTATCCTCAGCGGGCTTATGCAACATTGAAACCGAATGCACGTCGGCTCAAAGCATGACGTCCCGACGCTCCCTCTGAAACCGCTATGGAAAGGAAGTATGCGGAAGAATGAAGTCAGAAACTCCAACAAGTGGTAGGTAGTTATAACAGGGATTTTCGCCGTGTAGCTTCGCCAAATGACAGTGTAGCCGGGTGTTAAAATCGGTCACAGTGGGTGCCAAGGCTAAAGCAGCAGGGAGAGCATTCCACGGTCGGCTGATTTGTAGAGAAGTGGCGTTCTCTGCAGTTCAGGCAACTATGCTGATGTATGAGCATCAATGGGTGGCCACGTAGATGGGAGCGGGATTAGCGCCGTGTGCTTACTTAGCGACAGTGATGTTCGGTGTTGGCTAGGGTTATAAATACCAGGATCATGTCGCTCCGTAGACTTGTATACTTAAGTGCGTACAGGCGCAGGCAGTGCACTGCTTGTGGATGATCAAAATGCTTGAGACGTCAGACTACGTTCGCAGATGCACGTTGTGTTTCATGGAGTATGCGTTGGAAGTTCAACAACCAGGGGCTGCTAGCCTAATTACCGAATTGAAATCGGGGTGGAAGCGAAGCGTTGAGGAGGAGGCGGAAATTACCAGGATCCGCTTGACCGAAGGTTCAGTTCAGCAAAGCCACCATGCGGTTAGCAGCAGCTGCTGCCTTCCCTCAACAAGCGGATACGGAATGACAAGTCCGGGTAATGATACCCAAGTCTCTTTCGGTTGAAGAGATCTGGTGGCTAGACGCTTCCAGGAGAGAAAGCAGAAGGGCGGGTAGAAAGGACGGGACGTGTCGAAGCGCTAAAGGGAAGGTTGTTTTCTATATGCCGCTGGTGTGCAACGTACAGGTCTGTCTGAAGTGTGTGGGCTTCGTCGGGATGGTTAATTGCGCGCCACAGTTTCCCATCTACCGCATATAGCAGCTGGGAAGTCTGTACTTGCGGTGTGACGTCATCAATGATGACTAGGAAGAGGTGGATTCCGAGAACAGACCCTTCTGCAGCACCGTTTGCGGCCAAGGAAATGAGGAGACAGCGCTCCGTGGACACGTACTTCGAAGGTACTTTTTTCAAGGCAGTTCCGGATGCATTGCATCAAAGCCCTTGACATGCCGTAACACGACTGACGATGGTGTTTCAGAAGTCATTTGACAGCTGTACATTACCTACTGAATGGAAAGGGCTGTCATCTGTCCTGTTTTCAAACATGAGGACAGGAGTGTGTGAGCCAATTATAGGCCAGTCATGCTGACTAACGGCGCCAGTTCACTGTGTATCTGCGCTGTTGCAGGGAGGAGACCAGTGTTTACGTGTGAGTCGCAGCTTATTCTTTAGTCAAGCTGTGTCCCACAGGACTTGGACCGATGCTGTTCTCCATCTACGTAAACGGTCTCCCTGGAGAGCTTGGGGTATCACCCTATTGTTTGCTGAGGACCTTAAGCTATGGAATGTCGTAAATGTTCCTGGGGGTTCTGAGGCCATACAGCATGCCCTGGACAGACTCTGGGACTGGTATACTTTGTGGCTACTGCCCATTCATTAGGCTGTGTTCCGCCCTTCGTATAGGAGCAACTTTCCCGCCTTCGAGCTAGGTACTCGGTGTGGTCGAACTCCCCTTGCCTCAACCACGTAGACCTACGCGTCGTCCAGTCATCGTCTTTGCATTCTGGTGACAACTGGAAGAAGGCCGCTAGTAGAGGGTTAAGAATGTTGTGGTTAATACGCCGTTCTTTCGGGGTATTAACTGCCGACATAGTTGTGAAGCCCTTCTCAGCCGTTCTCAGTAGTTTGATGGGGAAGTTTGGACTGTACTTCAGCTGGCTATTTAGCCCGACTACGTTGACTTC